AGGATGATGATTATCGGGTAATGTAAAGTAACGTGAAATATGACGTTATCAACATCATACCAAACGTTTTTTAGGCGAATGCCAGGATCTCGGGATTTTTCAGGGAACGAATCTTAGGTTCGTGACCCAAAATCCAGTGCCAGGATTCCACGCAATCCAATTACTGATGTCAGTCCAATTACCGGGATGCAAAGAAAAAGACTAACCGACGTGAAGTACCATATCGAAAAGACCCCGTTGCGCTTGTTGTTGTATTTTACCCAGCGATCTGGCGTTCACATTGCCAAGGTCACCGTATACAGCGTAAATATATCCACCTTCTGGCCTTTCCTGGAGTGCTGTGAAACGGAATATCGGGCTCCAACCGTATTCAGAGCCAACGTGATAAACTTCAATCAATTAATAAACACACTAAGAATGAATGAAGTATACAGTGAAGAAAATCAGCATTTCAATAGATAAGTAAATAACAAACTGGCTAAGATGAATTGACTGAACTGAAATCAGATCTATTAAGAGCAAATCTACTTATTTATTTGTTCCTTCTGGACACTTTTTTGAAAGTCTGATTCAAATTGGAGACAATTTTTTGTATATCATCTATGATTCCTGATTAGTTATTCGGATACATTGCCTGTGTCGTAAAACTCAAATGTCCAATTGAATAAATCTTTTCTTACATCCATTCACCCTCACTAAAGGAGCTAAGAAGGTTGCATTTTCTGAAAAATTTTGAAAGTTGAAATCACTAACTTACAGTATGTAATTCCGGGCTCTAATTCAGTGAGCCTGACTCGATGAACGTAACGTTTCGATTTCTTGGATCCACCATCTATAAATAGGGAAGTATCTCCAGTGGCGTTGCGTTCCAAATCTTTGATGCCATATTCCACCACAGACGCATAGGTATCGTCGAATGTAATCCATGTTATCCATACAGTTGATGGATCACCTGAAATACTATCAATACAAATATCTGGAAATGCTCTGAAATCTATTCGGAATATTTTGGTTTTCATAAATTACGCCTTCTTTATGGTGCATGGATCCTGCTGGATTGAAAAGCACTGCATTATGCGAGGCGAAATTTTAATTCCTAGATTGGAGAATTTGGAAGTGAGTCGAAAAATTCCCAAAAATGAACAACTTAAATGCAGAATTCACGTCATTGTAACGCAAGGTTCTAATTAGAATTGATATCACATCGTTGAGATACAGATCAATTCTCTCATAGCACCACATGCATACCTCCATAACTCAATGCCACTTGCTCAGGCTGTGCGCAATAAGGTCCATGATTTGGTCCCTTTCCAAACCATGCAGGTACACGACGTGGTTCCAGGGAGTGTCTTCGGGAGATGGCAATGCCGATATTGAGAGCAATTAGTAATGAAGGCAGCCACGATCGAAGCATGATGACCATAAAAATGCTCACTGATAACTTTATCAGCTAAACTAGCGGTCATTGACCTGCGAAATGGTTTTTTTTTATAATGGTTGGCAATGTCACACGATGTAAAGCCCCTCGTCACATCTATAAAATAATGTAATGTGATCACGTGCGATTATGTAATGTTATGCCATAATTACAAAATGATCGATTACTGCTTCATCAGTCTAAATTGTTCAGGGCAACACCTATTTTTGCTCTTGCTCTTGTTTTTGCGTATTCTTATCAGATTTTCTTGTTTGCTTAATCTTATGAGATTAATGCTGTGATGTTTTTCCTATGATTTTATCATTGATGTTATTGGTGACTTTGCTATTGTAATGGCTACTTTCAATGGTTCTACTGCTATCAAATCACAGTTCATATCAGTCGATAACGAGATAAAAGCGATTGATCACCGACATGAATCAAACAGGCTGTCTATT